TCGAGGAAAATTGAAAGGGGCGCTGTAAATAACCAATCAAACGAGATCTTCGAAGATAATCCGATTTCAACACACCTGCGGCGAGTTCCAGTCCAATATTTACGCGCTTCTTTTGACCGCCAGAAATACCGCGTTCGAGAGTGCTACCGATGCGCGAATTGGCAACATGAGACAAGCTACATAGAATAAGCCACATATCAATTGCCCTAACAACTTACTTCAGCGCTTTCAGGAGTGCATCCACATGGTCCTCCACATCTTTGTTTGACCAGCTTTGCGGTAAGCGCACGCGAGCTGAATACATTAAGTTTTCTCGAACTGTCAGTTCCGGAATCATGATATCATCCTGAGGAACATAGCCGATAATTTTGCGGTACGTCTCCATTTCCGCAACAATATTATTGATTTTAAGGAGTCCATCTGTGCGATGTACTTTACCCATCAACACATTCATGAAAGTGGTTTTTCCGGCACCTGCGGAGACAGGTCAGGTGAAAAAAGAAAAAGAGTATTCCTTCTAACCAGATGGTCCCATGATGGCAGTCATTCGGCCTGACTTGATTTGACCGGACACACCCTTCAGGATCGTTTTTCCAGTGTGGAGCTTCAGGCTCAGGTCCTCAAATTTATAGTCCATTTTCAAGTTGTCGTGCCCTTCAAGCCCTTTTTTAAAGCCACCAGTAAGCATAGAGATATTTTCCGACACAATTTGACTGATGTCGGCTGAGGAAACCACGACTGCAGCAGGTTTGCCTTTGACGTCCCCAGCACTTTCATTCGTTGTAGGATTTCGTTGCTTGTTCCTTTTGAAGCTAGGGTTGGAAAGAAATTTTGCAATGAACGTTGGGAGCACGGCACTGAATGGTTCTTTGTTCCTTCGAAGTTCGCCAAACCGAAGAATAAGATATATAACACCAAGGAGAATGTCAGCCAAAGCGACAATCAAGAAAAATCCGTAATGTTTTTCAACGACCGAACCAACAGGACAAATGCTCATAAACTGACATACGGTCGGAGCGACGGCCCCAGTGGGACAGAACGAGCCAGCTGGGCTACAATGCTGTCAGTTAAACCATACCACCACTGCTTACTCACCAAACAACAACCGTATTATAATTCGGGCAATACCTTTAAGTGCTTTTTCTTGAGATCAAATTGCCGAGCAGATAAACACTCACCAGCCTGCGGGGCAAGCCATGGGCTCGTAATATCCCTGCGGAGTCAAGCACTTTTCATATGTTCCTAAGCGACGACCAAGACAATCGGCATCAGGGGGACAGTAAACGGGATACGTGGTGGGATTGGAGACGTTGAGATAGGGGCAAAAGAAGCCCGGAGGGCAAAGTTCCTCGGCAGTACGAACGGCATTGGCCGATGTGTTTGATAGAAGAGGCACGCCGAATGGGTAGCTGGGGCATGTGAAGCAACCATAACCGATGCGGGCTCCTTCAGTGTAGTTTAGCGGAAGCAACTCGGTAGAAGATGGCAGGATCCAGTCTGATCCAAGAGTTCTATTCCCATTCACAGTGAAAGGATTGTAGTTCGGCACGGGGTATGGGCAGGTGGCAGACATTACGAAGCAAAAGACCGAAGGGTTTGTGAGATTCTTTGTTGGCACTCAAATCTCCGCCTTTGGGCGCTGTCTTATGTCATTTTTTTGTTTTTGTCGAAAAAAAATTGGGAATTCCCATAATTTCCACCGTATTCATCATCTTTTCAGTCGATAAGACTATACCTTGTGATCCTTCATGAAATTTAGATTCTATTCGTCATCTGATTCATCACGCTATCAACTGATTCATCAATCTACTCTGTCAAGTTGTTCATTGTCACACTTATCCATCCATCGTCTTGTCAAAACAACTGGGAATTGCTTTGTCAAGAAAATGATGAACTCTGAGAGAAGCACCCAGATGGAAACGAAAGATTTTTCCAATGCAATGCGAAGGGGAGTTCGGAAGTAGTAAAAGTTGAGAAGGTCATCAGAGCCATCTCAGACGTGCATCATGAATAGAGTGTAAATAACTGCTGTTTTGTTTATTGGACTGATGCTAATCCATTTTCTCGCTACTCACTCAAGCTATTCAAGATGGTCGACTTGAAAGCGTGAGTGAGGGAGTACGGTAGGGGGGGTGTATGCATGTGCGCGTATAAGAGTGAGTGAGTGAGTGATTGAGAGAGAGAGAGAGAGAGAGAGAGAGAGAGAGTGTGTGTGTGTGTGTGTGAATGGCCTCATTGATTTGCCGCTGCAGCAAGAGACGGGCGACAGCGCGCAGACACACGCCCTCGCCACCGACACCCGCCGCACGCACTGTCATTGACAGACGCATCTGCCAATGTCCTGCTTCGCCCTGTCCTCCTCGTCCGTCTGCGGCTCCGGATTCGCTGGCTTCCCCGTTCTCACCAACCAGTTTACCGATGAAGCCGCCTTCAATGCCCTGATCGAGACGGCCATTGCCCCCAACATCACCACTTTCCAGGATGACAGCCACGGTTGCAGCGCAGCCTCCGCGACGGCTCTGTCCACTGCAGTTGCCGCCATGCGTTACCAGGTTTCATTCGACTGTGTCACCATCGTAGCAAACGCTCTCAACGCAGGATGTGCGTAGCTTTTAACTGCGCCTGTTTGTTAATGTAGACACACTCATTCAGGCTCTGCCCCATCTAACACCGATCTTGGCCATGTTGTACTTTGCGGAAATCTGTGCTCGATTGTATGTCAAAATATTTCATCGCCTCAAATGAAAATTTTCTAATGAGTTTTCAGGCTATCACCACTTACCAGAACGTCTACGCGACTCAGGGCTGCACATCTACTGCTTATGTCACTGCAAAATTGCTTTCGAGGTTTGGGACTGATCTATTTTCAGGATATTTTTTTAATTTTAATTCATTCATATGTTCAGGCAATATGCGTGTGGGAATATGACGGCGTCCCTGGCAACAAACAAGGACCAAACCTGTCTCTTGGGTGTTTCGCCAGAGTTGAATCAATGCGGACTTGTTTCTGCGAGTGATTCCTCTGCGTATTGTGCGTCCAACCCGACCGATCAGTGCTGTTCATTCCCGGCAGGTGTTCAATATGCAATTTTCAACTCGGCAACCGATCAGTATTACGTACCATCTTCTTCTGCTACTTCAAGTGGCCCGCCTGTTGCTCTTATTGGTGGTGTTGTTGGTGGCGTTGTTGCCGTAATAGGCATTGCCGCAATTGTATTCTTCGTCTACAGAAGGAAGAAATCGACGCCACGAAAGACATTTGACAATGCGGCAATGTACCAGCAGGACACGACTTCATTCCGGCCAGGGCAGGCATTTGGAATGCCCCAGCAACAGCAGCAGCCGATGTCTATGCCTTACCCCAGTACTGGGAGACCAAAACCCGCATCAGAAGGAACCTACCTTCCTCAGCAGCCGCAATTATTGCGTATGCCCCCTACTCAAGTTCAACCGTACAAGAGTCTGGTTGGTCCTTCCACTATTGCTCCTTCAACTGTAGGTTCGATTGTTGGCAACAGTCCCGGCAAATCCAGCAGTCAAATTATGCGAATTATTCACCCATACGAAGCTTTGCTCCAGGATGAGCTTGATCTTGTTGAAGGAGATGATCTAATTTTGGTTAAGAAGTTCGATGATGGGTGAGTTGTTGTCCGGTCAGTCACTTTTTGTTGATTTCGACTTGACAGTTGGGCTCAAGGAATTAACCCACTGACGGGAAAGCAAGGAGCTTTTCCGCTGGTGTGCGTAGTCCCAGTTGCAGAGTACAACTCGCAAAAGGCAGCTGACCAAAAGAAACAAGCAAGAGAATCACGTATGTCCAAGAGAATGAGTAGCATGGTTGGATCCTCTATCCCAGTAAACAAAAAAGCGTCAATGGCTATTTCGTACGTTTCCACCGCTGTTTCTTCTGTCACGGATGCATCTGCAGCGGACAAGGTGAGAAATACTTTGAGGGTACTGTTTCCGTACCAAGCCCAGCAAGATGATGAGCTTGAGTTGGTGGTCGGTAACGACATCATTTTGTTGAAGTCGTTTGATGGTAAGTTTTCGGGGCGCTTGTCTTTGGTTTCTAACGTCCCAATCAGATGGATGGGCTCTTGGAATGCAACCGTTGACGGGGCAAAAGGGCGCTTTCCCGCTTGCTTGTGTTGACCTAGGAAAGACAGATAACCGAATCAGCAATCGCGCAAGCAGTTTGATGTCATGGCAGGAATGATTTTTTTTTACTTTGAGTTCATGTTATGTATGGGGTTGGGAATTATGTGCTTGTCTTGACATTAGAAAATATTCCAGTCTTAGTTGAAATGGCCCAGTTGTGGTTTCACCAAAAACTTAAGCGAAAGGTGGAGCCTAATCGTCTTTGAGAGGGCTTGTTGAATACAGCGTTTGAATACAGTCTTTGCAAAGTAGGAACAGACATATTCTCCTTTCATGATTGCAATTTAACGATAATATACTCTCCATTAGCGTACAAGGCAAACCAGAAATTTTGCCTGCCGCCGTTCCATTTCGAAATTCACCGGGCCGCCTGGGGAGGCATCACGCTGATACGGAATTGGGCTCAGGATTCCGTAGAAATAAAAGGGATGCCTAAACAGGCTACTACTCAGAGGGATCTGCTTAAACAAGTGTGGATTGAGATAACTATCTGTTTTTATTTGCTCCACAATCATTCGCTTTTCATACTTCAAATTACGTAGCAAATCAATGAAAAATAAAGAAACTCAGATGAAAACTAAAGTCTTGAAAAGAAAATAAGGAGTAGATAGATTTTAGATAGATTTTTCAGATAACAATCCAAAAATTCAGAAAGTACAAAACGATTTCTTACGAGCTGGGCAGACTTCCAGGCTCTTTCGAGACACCTGCTGTTACGGAATGGGTTCAGGTTCTGTAGGTTAAAAAGGATGCCTCTCCAGGCGGCTTGGTCAATTTAGAAAATAATTAGAAATTTTCTCAGCAAGAAGATTGGAAAGGCTCTTCCGTAACTAACAGTTAAAGCCTCTATAGCTCAGCGGCAGAGCGTTCCCCTCGTAAGGGAAAGGTCAGTGGTTCAATCCCGCTTGGAGGCAATGTTCGAAACCATGCACAGAGATTACTTTTTCAAAACGGTCCTGTACGAAACTAAATTTGAATGGATATATCGTATTTTCTTCAACGCATATTTGCCTCCTGGCGGGATTGATCCACCGACCTTTGCATTACAAGTGCAACGCTCTACCACTGAGCTAAGGAGGCATATTTTGCGATGAAGGAATTAAAAAATTTACATATCCAAATTGTTAGGAAGTAACTTGGGCATTGTGGATCATTTAATGAGTGTTTGAGGAGTTTTTCCATTTATTTTCCACATGGTGAGCACGTTTTCAATTGTGCATGTCTTGATTTTGGTGGGAATCAAAGGGGGGGTTGTTGTGTGTAATACCAAAATTTTCATAAGTTTTTGGGAGGAAAAAGGGGTGTAGTATCCAATCATTCTTTCATCTGTTTGACCATCTGTATGTGGATGGTATGACATGGATTGTACTAATCTGATTTTTAGGGATTCAAATAACAATCTCCAGAATTTAGAAGTGAATTAAATATTGTGATCAGAAATGAAATGACAAGGGATTCAATGGTGCTTGAATATCTCCTTTTCAAAGAGATCCGCAACATTTCTGGCAGTCCAAGTTTTTTGGATGGAAAAATTTGGGTGTGTTTAGTTCCTGAATCAATTTTGACCATAATCATATTGTTTTTGTTTTTTGTAGTCAGAAGTTTCATGATTAAATCCATCAAAATTGTATGCCAACAGTACAGAGGGACGTTGTGGGGCGTAACATGTTTCACAGGTCTGCACAAAGCATTGCATGTTGGTGTGGATCTTTGGCCAATCTGTGAATACCAACTAGTGTCAGGAGTCGATCGGGGAACGTCAGGCAGGACAGGGCAGGACAGGGAGGCCGGAGGCAGTGTCTGGGCAAGCGGGCAAACACGGTTT